CAGTGCAGTGGGCACACATCATTTTTTTAAGGTTCTCACATCTCCATACCCTGCCACCTCGATTTGTCTGGTGCCAAACAGCAGCAATCAGAGAACGTCACAGCGGCAAACACTTCAGCCTGGATGGCAAACATCTGATAAAATCCCAAGCAGGATTCCACAGCCTTAAAAATTACGACCCCCAACAAGGCTGGCAGCTGGAGGGGTGATTGGGGTTAAAGGTCACAACAGACACTAATGTCAGAGTCAGTAGTAAGAAAACTAAAAGCTCAGTCTGGTGCCCAAGACACCCCCCCCCCCCCAAGAAATACAAGCATAGATGAATAAACAACGGTCAAGGCTGTTTTCAAAGGAGAAGTCACGTTAGGCAAACTGTTCCACATTCGAACACCCCCCCCCCCCCAACCACACCCCCTTTTTCACCGATGACCGCTAAACCCCCAGAGACGAGTGACAGGTTTCCAAAAGTTGGACCTGCAGCCAAAAACGAACGCAGCATGGGGGAAGCATATGAAGAAGAATGAGAAAAATACACGCTGGTCGCATGTGTTGTTTATCCGCTGAAATGTCCCTCCCCTGCTGGAGGTAATCATGACGACCATCTCTCCCTGTCACAATGCTACACGGGTCCCTGTCACAGTGCTACACGGGTACGTCCCCACCTCAAACCGCACCACGTACGAGACTGACAGGGGCTCCATCGGCCATTACAGGCCAGTTCTGCAAAGAGTAACTCACGCCAATCAGGGGCCGGAAAAAGCTGGAAAGACTGACAGCAGGTGGACTTGGGGCGACTTAAACGCAAGTCATTAAAAAGATAAACGTATACAACACATGCTTAAATCGGGGTCCTATTTTTGATACAATCTGACCAAAAACCAAAACTCTAGAATTCTAGAAAAATATTAAAGAAAAATATAAACAATATGACGGCATCAGCTTATTCCAAAACACATATTAACCAAACAGAAAAAAAAAACACATTAAGTGTTTCTGGTTTCAATTCTGCAATGCACGCCTTTATTTGGTAAAAAATAAAGGCAAGTTCTCTTGAGGGAAAACACAGAATAAGCAAAAAATAAGCCTTTCAGTTTCATGTAAGTTTCAAAGACAATTAACAAATTCCATAAGCAAACATATTCCAAGAACGGCCTTTATTTATAGATTTTTTTTATAGATGGCATCCAGCAACATGCAAAAAGAATTAGACACAAATGGGCAAACGGGGCAAACGCCCTGAATTGCTAGAATACATTATCCAGTAACTAAATACAGACAAATATAAACTATGCAGGATGAAGCAGTGCTCCTAATTTTCGGAGGCAAAAGGTTGTTTTTCCAACCCAAATAGCTGTTGCCTGAAAATTGTTTTCGTCACGCTATTCTGTCAGAGAGACAATCGATGGAATGTACCCCCAGTCGGCTGAAAACACTCGATTGCCTGGGGCAGTGATGTTGCATAATTCTGTGGTATACGACCATACACAAGATGTAGAGATGTTTCAGGGCACTATAAGGCTGATTTGTTCAAGTCTCTGCACCTCTCCTCCTCTGCCAGACAATAAATAAAATAAACGAAAATACAGCTTTAATGTTTATACTTTTCAAGATGTTTTAACTTGTTACTTTACATATTTCTATCTATTATTTCTGAGATTTATTTCACAAAAATATGCAATCAGTGTCTTTACTTGCCAGAGACAAGAAAATATGTGGAGACTTTGCACTTGTCAGGGGATTTAATGAATCGGGCCTTGTGTGAATTAGGTTTCAAAGCAAATCAGGAAACAAAAACATGAAGCTTGAAAAAGAGCCAGAACAGCGCTGGTATCTTTCTGACAATTACACAGGGCACGTCAGACAATGATTCTGCCTGTTTATTGTGGTAGGATATCTGATCAACGCATTACCGACCAAACGTGTCATTTTATCAAACAGCTCCGCCAAACCGCAAAGCTGTTTGTCAAACATGTGTTTTTTTCATGGATTTTCTAATTAAATCCCAGAAAAATGAGTCAGAGCGGCGAGTTTCTGACAAACTGCCGCAGAAACGGCTCATCGCTGCAAACACATCAGTCAGACGTGAAAAACAGCCCCACCAGAGAAGCGGCCGCGTAGCACTCCCTGTGCAAAAACACGCGGCTCTGGCAAACATCCCCCGCTCTGGTGAATGCAGCAGGGATTTGCACTGCGATCCCCTCCCATCATGCCTTGCAGTCTGCTCCAGCTGCGACTCCCTTTGCACTCAGGGTGTCGTCCTTACTGGCCTGTCACAACGACAGCAACCCCCCCGCACCCGCCAGCAACCACACAAAGCTGCTTTTCCTCTGAAACTCCCTCCAGGTCCGTCTCCCGTAACAGTGTTTCTCAAACCAGTCCTTGGGCACCGCCAGACGGTCCACGTTTTTACTCTCTCCAAATTCCCTGGAAGTCGGGAGCAAGAATATGGACCGTCTGGCGGCCCTTCAGGACTGGTTTGAGAAACATTCTCCTACACAACCACCGTAGCTTCATATAGCCACCTCACCCTATCAAGTAACCGACTTAGCAACACATCACATGCAAAGGTCTCACACTTTAATTTCGGCACATACCTCCACTGTCTAGCACTTCTAATGCAAACAAAAATAAAGACAGAAACTTCTGCTCTGTCACGTCAAGGCTGGCTTTTGTCTTTATCGCTGTGTGCGTTTGCTTTGTTTTTGCCTCTGCAGGATGGAAAGTGGCAGAGGAAAGGTACAACAGCCGGGCCCCGCTACCCTCAGTCTACTTCCTCTGGCCGTCTTCCAAACCATCTGCGTGACACATTTAAAATGTTTATTACGGAGATAAAAGAAAGGACAGACTGCAGGGTGCGAACTGAGAAAGTATCCTGGACTACAAACAAAATCTACAGATTTAAGAAAAAAGCCACCAACCAATGAATCTATAGATCAGCATGAGCACGCTGCGCCGTGCGAGAGAGAGAGGGTTATGTAACCGCTCATGTTAAGAGCCATCGACAAAATGCTGATAAAACACAGCAATAACTGCCTTTAGAGTCTTCCTGTTGGCCGTTTGTGGAAGCAGGCGAAGTTACGCCATAGCATTTAGCAGCTGTGAACGGCAGTCTTTTACAACCGTGTAAATATCATTAATGCGACTTCTGATAAGAATACAGGCCTAATGAGGCTTCAAGAGCAGAAGACAAATAAAATGCCACATCTTATGTTCCAGCAGCATATTCCTTGTTGCTTCTCGATTGATTAATTAAAAGAGCAATGCTGAGTGACTATGCTCAGGCCAGCCAGGCTGAGCTCAGGCTTCAAGGTGGGTCTCAGGCCGGAGTGGGCAGGGCAGTGGACAGGCCTGGGCATGCAGCATGTCCCCGCCCCCCCATCATGTCCCCGCCCCCCCAGCATGTCCCCATCCGCCCCAGCATGTCCCCATCCGCCCCAGCATGTCCCAGTCTGCCCAGCATGTCCCCGTCTGCTCCCCAGGACTGGAGTTAAAAACTGCTGTTTTCTTATTGGCTGATTGATCATCCCAAAAACCCAGACAGCCCTCCATGGATCGGCTTCCCCACCCCTGGTCTAGATGCCTCCACGCTGAAGGCCTGGGTGTCTAACAGGAACTTTAGATGGGCTGGGCCTATAAAGGACTAAACCTTCTCAAACGCAGGTGGTCATGGTTCAGCTCACAACATGCCATCGCCGTCAGCAATCTGTATCACGCTGTTAACGCGCTAAAGTCAGAACAGCACTGTCTGCGCTGCGCCCCCCCCCCCCTCCACCAACACATCTCTACCATCGGCTCCCTCTCACAGGATGTTGCCTTGGTGACAGAAACCTCGACGTCATAGGGTCTCGGGACCCTGATGAGTCAGGAAGGAAAAGGAGCACCGGGTGTCCGACGGGAAGTATGGTATCAGCCGTGGGGGTGGCGGGAATCCGAGGCCCCCGCTTCTTCAGGAGTTGGCTTCCTGGCACGCCTCACCCTTCAACACCCTCTCACCTGGGGGGTCAAACTCAGCCAGTAGCAGGGGAAGGCTGGGTCCCAGTAGCAGGTGATTATGCACTGGTTTATGCCTGCACATCCCCCCAAAGGCATTCCTGGCCTTTCCAGAAACACAGGGCAACAGGCGGTAACCGATAGCGACAAAACGCTTGGTCAATCCAGACTTCAAAGTACTGCAAGTTCTTCATCACTCGTGTCAAAGCTTAAAGGACAGGGGACCACACAGCAGGTGTTGCGGGGCGCAGAAAGAGCTCAGCGCGGCTGCTGCCGCCCTACAGGCCGTTTTTCAATGAGAATCACCATTCAGGACTCTGACGCAAGATGAGCACAATCAGTTTGTCTGTTAACAGACATTTTTACTTAAAGGATCTACTCCAGTCCTGGGCCTAGGGACACCCTGAAGGAGATTCCAGGCATCGCAGGGCATACATTCACACATGCATTTTCCAGGTATTGATTCCCCGAAACACAGTGGGAGGAGGCCATTCTGAGAACGTGCAAACTATACAGGCCGAGACGGGGGGTGGGAATCCAGCCGCAGGCGCTGGGGGTGCGAGGTTGCAGCGCTACCCGCTGTGCCGCCACGCCACCCAGAAGCCAGTGCAGATGCCCTTCTCATTTTACACTCAGAGAAGCTGTTTCCATTTACTCTGCTGAGACCCTTCGGCGGCTCCCCAGGGCCACCCCCCCCCCGTCGGGAGTCGACCCAGCCGATGTACCTCACACACCCTGTGCTGAGCAGGACTTCACACCCAGGTGACCACTGCAGTCTAAACAGATCCAAGGTAAAGACTCTTTACTCTTTACCCGTTACAGATTTAAAGCAGTTTCCTAGCCCAGATCTCAAGTTGACATTTTTGCTCCCTCCCAGCCCCCAGCATACCTGTACCGTGGAATCGCTGCTCTTGATTGGCTTGAATGGAGTAAAATGTGGACTGGGGGTCCCTGAGGATTGGGCTGAGAAACTCTGACCTAAAGAATAGCCAATTAGCAACTATCTCATGTAATAATACTTTTTTATTGTTGAAAACAGGGATATGTATCAGAGTGTGGGCGGGCCCTTTTTGTTTTTTCCCAGTGGGAAGCGGAGTCTTCCTGGTGCTGACACGCCCATCCACAGGCCTCGCACTACCGGCAGTAACGGGAGGCCCATCAACCTGGTATCATGCCAAGAAAAATGGGTAAAATTATCACAGGAAAAAAACAAAAAAAACAAATTTGTTACATCTCCAGAGAAAATTAACCGGCCGTGGAAAGTATTCCATTCACACGGACGTGGCTTTGACGAAGGCAAGTCGATCCCGACCCATTCACCACCTCTAGTGCGGTGGCCCTCGGTTTAAAGGCCTTTCTAATTCCGTCGATGCTGACACTCATTACCTTACTGCTCCAGTGCCTGAACTTCACACCCCACAGGAAACAATCAGATTCTCTTCAGATAACACAGCTCTGTTGCGCTATCATCTGATTAAGCGTATTTTTCCTTGGCCGTACACCGAACTGGCAGTACTGGTCTCAAAATGTCACATAACCAGGCCCCTTGTATTCCTTCAAGAACAACAACGGCACCAGCGATCAAGTTCATCTCTGTCACACCCCCCCCCCCCCCCACACACATCCGTATCTCACCCACCAATCAGACTGTGATGTTTGTCTGGGTCTCCCAATCATCAGTCACCTTAAAAAAAAGATCCACCCACATCCAACTGTAGCTCAAAAAAACAAATTCAGGTGCAGGGGCTAGAGCATGGGATGTGTCACTGCTCCCCCACCTTCACCTGTCACCTAACCCCCCCCCGCAAACCCAAAATCTAACCGCACCTCACTTTTTTGGACACCCTTTTCCAGCCTGGATGAACTCACCCTGCTTCTTCACAGTCGCATACACGGTCGCTGAAGGAGACGACGCGGATCAAAGGTCACGCGGCCCCTGGTAGCAGAGCTGGAAGACCCCTGGGATAGCACGGGACTCCCTCCAACCTCCTCATCCCCGCCATCAACCTTCCCTGGAATACATCCCCCCCCCCCATACCCATTCTTCCAGCGTGAGAGTCTGCCTAAGCTACATCAGCACAAATGCCTGTTTTTACAGGAAGGACCCGAGCAGCTGCTCACTGCCAACAATGGGGCCTTCGTCACAGTGCTGGTATGTGTGTGTGTGTTTGTGTGTGTGTGGCAATGAGGCTTCGGCCTACAATGCGATACGTATGCGGATGCACACCCACACATGTGCGCGTGTGGCCGCGTCGGCCCAGGAACGACCCTGCGTATCACAGAATGCTGGGACTTCCCCTCTTCTGCACCCAGGCAGCCCAGTGCCCACAAGCCCAACTTCCTGTTGAAGGTAACGGCACTCGGTGGCTGCCGCTCTCACGGCCTCCCCCGGGTCGCCACGCGCGTCTCACTGACCCTCCAGGCGGCGTGTGTGCGCTTCAAACACTGACGCACGTGGACACTGGGGGGCGGAAAATAAGCAAATCGGGTGATGGCTCAAAAAAAAAAAACCAAAAAAGCAAAGCGGAGAGAGAGAGATAGATGGCCGCAGCGACCTATCTGTCCGTCTTCAGCTGAAGGAAGCGACTGGGGCAGAGGGCAGGAGTCCGCCGTGGGGCGGAGATGGTGCGCAGGGGCTAAGGTATAACCGGAAGGTCACAGATTTGCGTCCCAGAAGAGACATGCCGTTTGACCTTTGATAAAGAATCCCCATGAACTATAGTGTGTCGACCACAAAGTTTCAGAATCAGCAAAAGAAACTGCCGCATATAATGAGCTAATTAAAAATTCAACCTACGGGATGTTAACTTGGAGAGAGATCCCCTCGCAAGCGACTTTAATTAAGAAGAATAAACCACATACAAAAGCTGGCAGTTTGGATAAAACTGGTACAGGCTTGTCATAAATAATAAAAGCAGAACAACAGGATTCGGTGTGGCCAAGCTGAGCTTACATGCCTGAAATCAGCTGCCGAATATATTTAGACAGGCAGGATCCAGCCTGCTTGGGAGGGGGTCCTGACCTGACAGCTTCATTCAGTCAGACTATCAACAGTTATCAGGATGGGGGTGGCAGTGCAATCAGGGCTGATTGGAGCAAGAACCAAACCAAGCTGACATTCAGACCTAGGAGGCACCTTGAGAGTGGTGCTCAGCTGACTACCCCAGGCGCTGGTTTCCTGAGTTTGCGGCCTTCCCCCGGTACGCTGGACGTGGCCTGAGGGCCGTGCTCTGTCCTTACACCTTCCTCATTCTGCCCCAGTTCCCCTTGTGCGGCACACGAGGACTGCGGCTTATTAACCAGAGAGTATTATTAGCTTGGCTCATCTAATGACACGTCCCCGGCTGTGGCATCTAACAATTCTACTGGCGAATGGGGACTTGTAGGGAAAACAATATGCCATTGTGAAGGGGACTATGGAGTAAAAAAGGCAGCCTGTGGCCCCGGGGGGGGGGGGTGTCAGGGGGTGTTTGTATTTACTCACTCCGCCTCAGGTACGTGACTAAGGAGGAAACGCTGCCTGAATCCTGCCCCGAGTCCCATCGCGGAGCATCCCATTCCCTCACGTGCACCAGGGAGGTGCTGCCGTCCGCCGTCTCCCTCACGCAAACACCTCTCGTACCTTCTTGCGGTCATCGCTGCCCATCCCAGTGCGGTTCCGGAAAATTCTGATAAACCCGTAACTCCCCGCCGTCGTTCCTAGTGTTACTCTGCGTTCCATCCCGACCGGACCGGTCCGGACTGGACCAGACCGGACTGTCACGCATCAGGCGTCTGACCGAGAGGCTGCAGGGTCACATGACTGGGAAGTACCGGGGTTAATATCTGCAAGCCCTGACCGTCCTTCAAAGTGACTCAGAATGCAGCTGAATGAACGACAGGTTATAAATGTATGAAAATGAATAACCGGTTGTTGGAAATTGCACATAAATATATCACTGCCTCACACACGCATCCTCTCCCACACACCTCTGTTCACTTAACAAAAACATGGCTGACCACCGTAAATCCATTGTCTACCCCATGATAGACCAGAGCAGGCCATGCCATCCAGACCCCTTCAGTGGTACGAGGCAGAGGCCCTGTCTTGTATTCTCCATGCCCTCCCAGGGCTCCGTCATCGCTTAGTAATGTCTTGTACGGGCTTGACTACAGGCGCCCGAGGCTGGAGGATTATGGGAGATAACTCCTCAAAAGCGAACCCGACTGTGGTTCAAATCAGCTCCACACAAACTGGCACACACTAACGATTCTGTCCCGCTGTGTCCCGGGGGGGGGGGATGGGACTGCTTCAGAAAAATGCAGCTTCCTTATGCTCCCGCGAGTCATTCATCTGGGGCATGGTCGTAAACAAGGAGGACCTTAACCTACAAGCATAACTGTGGCACACTGAGCGCCAAAGCCCGGTAAATAACAGCACCGATAAAAACAGCCTTCTGTAAATAATGCTGACTAAATTAGGTTAGCCCATTTTGTCTCCCAGAGCTTGTGCAAACAAACAGCTAAGTTTCCTAGAAGTTTTGAAATGCCTCCAGTGTACATTTTCCAGAGCCCCCTCCCTCCGGATCCTGCCAAAACAACATCCCACCCCGTCTGTTCTGCTGTAAGCAATGTTCTTTTCGTGGAGAACACAGCTCAGGGCACAAACAGATCCTAGAGGTGTGTCCTCCCGTGACCAATCAGGGAGCGGGTGCTCGGCCGCCTCAGCCAATGGGAGCTGCAGGGGGGTGGGCCCCGCAGCGAGGGACTTGTTGTTTTGTTGGGCCCCTGCACACTTGACAGTGATGAACGAGAGCGATGAAGGAGAGGTCAGCCCAAAGCGTGGATATCCCTGGCCGGCGTCCCAGGGCAGTGGAGGAGGGGGAGGTGCTCGTTATTCAGCCTCTGCAGCGGGGAACTCGTCGCTCATAACTCAGAAGGATTAGCCTATTTCCAGAGGCCTCGCGGACACCTGGGTGTGGGGCGGTCTGTAAACACACCTGGAGACGAGGCCGACGACTGCACAGGGCGTAACCGAGAACAAAGAGCTTCCCGCGGCGCGGAGAGGCGAGGGGGCCCAGCACCGGCACCGCCGCTACGGCTCCTCGTTCATACAGCCCCACACGCCCCAGCTAAACGCACGCGGACACAGCAGCCGCTATTTCAGCGTCGCGGATGCCGTTTTCTGCTTCTTCGTGGAAAAAGTCAGCAGCAGAAAATGAAGAAAGGTTCCAAAGTGATATCACACTCCCTTTAGTTTATTGTTAACCACTATATTTATTCCACCCCCTTATACAAAAAAAAAAACGCTCCACTATGTATCCAGCCCTCCCCCCCCCAGTTTCACACTCTCCTGTGTTTTGCACAAGTATTGTGATACCCTCCCTTGGGCGGGGGGGGGGGGGATGCTATTTCATACCACTGTATACCTATATATGGATGGTATGCAGGGGGGGGGGCTTAATGCAGGGGCCTCTGCTAAAAAGAGACCCCCCCAGGTCCAAAACTTTTACCGTTGCCAGTCCCTCCCCAGGTTGACAACTTTCTCAGGGGCCGTCGGAGGAAATAAGGGGCCCCATGACAGCCGAGGGGCCTCTGACCACGTTAATGTGCTCCGATGGTGCATAATAAAGCCCACTTTACTGAGCAGTCTAATTGCATTCATTTTAATTAGCCATGGCAGTGTGGCTGTTTCTCCCTAACAGTTATAATACACAACACTCCCTGCTTTTGCTGTTAGTCTGTAATATTATCCCCTTATCTCCCGATGTGCTGAATGGCAGGGAAAGTAGGACGTCCAAGTACGCAGGAATAAACTGATGAAGTAAAGCCGACTGTCATCCTGCTTATTTGGATGTCAGCCAGCTTGGCAAGGTGCTGCCAGTGGGACGAGGCGTTTTTCATGGGGCGCCGCGTAGCCGTGCGAGCCCAGCGGGGGTCACACGAGCGGCCAATCAGAGTGAGGCAGAGAGCGGCCAATCGGAGCGAAGCAGAGAGAGCCGCGGCCAATCGCAGTGAAGGGAGCGGCCAATGAGTGCAAAGCGGATAGAGCCGTGGCCAATCGGAGCGAAGAGGGTGGCCAATCGGAGTGAAGCGAAAAGCGGCCAATCGAAGCAAAGCAGGGAGAGCCGCGGACCTCCCATCACAGTATGGGCCTTTGCCAGATGCTGGCTGGTTTTGTGACCATACGGAGTAAAAGAGATCGGACAGCAGCAACGGGGGGCGGGAGGACATGCCCAGAATGAGAATCACAAGGCGCACATGAGACCGGCCACGGCGCCCTGTGGGAAGCGCTTACTCTAAAAATACATGGAGGTGCGAAGCAGCTGGTGACATCCGCCAGGTTTCAGACGCAGGCGCCTGGGGATCTGGGCAGTAGCGGTTATGTATGTGGCATTACCAAGACAGGATAGTAGGTGGCAGGGTGGTTAAAGAAAGGTAGACGCAAAGACGTGAGCTTACAGGCTGGTTTAGTGGCAAATATAAATCCGCACTATGTAACGTAGGTATTGGATATTGCCCATTATCTTCTCAATAGATGATGGCCCACAATCAAGGATTATTTTTAGGATGGGCAATGTA